AATCAAAGAACGACACGTGGAACAAGGGACCCATGAGGAGGAGCCGCTAAACGGGTAACCAATTGCGCCCCACAAAGTACCATCGGCAAGATGTGAGTCTTTGGCACCATGGACTGCCGATCGTATCAAAAGACCACACTTCATTAGAGATTTCTCATAAGGACAGGTGGCACCTCCTCGAGCAAAATGCCCACATTCCCACATTGAAATTCCACTCAAGATGCACATCTCCCAACATCTATAAAAAGGGGCACAAGTCCCCAAAACAAGGTAACTGGACCTTCGGCTACTTAGCCATCACTCTGTTCGGATCATTATTCACTCCATAATTGATACTAACTTAAGCATCGGAGAGCCTTTGGCCGGTACCAAAGGTCTTACCGCTCGTCTTTTGTCTTGCAGAATATCCACGCTGCCAAAGACCACGTAGGGCCAAAGGTGATGTCATTATGAAGTTGGGCCCAAAAGTATCCGACCATTTTTGAGCATCAACAAGACCTATTGGCTTGAAAGATGGAAATAGAACTCTAATAATAACTTTTATTTCCCTCCTTTTTTTCTCGTGTTTCAGATAAACTAAAGTTCCAATGCAAAAGCAATACCTACTAGCAGGACTTCTGCAAAAGTTACACCTATTGGGCATCAGATTCAAATGAACGACATGCAAGAACCAATATGAATCAGCGAATCTGAAATACCTCCTGGACTATATATTTTTGCCTAGAACAGTCTTAGCATGTGAAACATACGTCTCACAAATGTCCACTGTCACAGACTGACACGTCTTTACCCAAACAAAAGGTTAAAACAAACCATGATTCTAAGAACTTTCATCATTTCATTTTCATGGAAGTGAAGTGACCAGAAGTGCGGTCAAAGAATTGAGACATCAACAAGGTACAAGAAGCAAACAAATAAGAAACCAACAAGGGGAACGCAAAGACACGCAAAACCCAACTGACAACCACGTAACTTGTGAAGTCGTGGGCCTTAGAGTAACAGTAAAATCCCATCGATAGCCATATAAACCAACTGTTAGGTCCCCAACCTAACTAAAAATTAATTAATAAATAATAAAAGATAGACTTTTAGACTTTTAAGAGCATCTCCAACAGACTATTTATCCTCTCATCCCTAACTACTTTGGCTAAAAAGAAGGAAAATCCTCCTCCATCCTACTCCCTACTTGGCTCTCTATTTTGGAGAACCAACTTTTGGCTCTTTACATCTCGCGAGGAGGAGAGATAATTTGGCTAGGAGGAGAGAGAGATAGAGACATTTGGGAGGTTGGTGGGGTTGAGTTTCTACTCTTTTTTTTTATATTTTAAATATATTGGATTTGCAAGAGAAAGAAGGAGAAAGAGAGAGAAAATAATAATAAGGATCCTCCCCGCTTCCAATTTACAGAAAGATACTCGCCCAAGATATTATACAATACGTATACATTTATAGGCATGTCAGAAATTAAGCCGAGGGCCACCATTGCTCTACTCCTAGTGGCTATGGCCTCCTCCTGTTTAGGGGTGGGCATCGAGACCAGGAAATCGGAACAAGAAGCCGCACCCGATAGAAAAAATCGGAAAAACACCATGTTGACTAAAAAGTCAATGAATTGGCATCAGAACTATTTAAACCGATTTCGGTGCCAGTTTCACACCTTACAAAACTGGACTGAACCCGCTGAGTATTTTTTATTATTTATTTTTAAATTATTTAAGTCCAATGCTTAATTTCTAATTTCATAACTAATATTTCTCCAAACCTAACTTCAAAGCACCTTTCTTTTTTATGCCCAATCATCTCTTGTATGAAATTAATTTATTTGTGAATTTTTAAGCACAAAAAATAAAATTTTAGTTGAAATTTGTAAAAATATATTAAAAAATATCCGGTTTGAAACCAAAAAAATCGAAAATGGCACTAGAACTTATTTAAATTGGACCGACTGGTTTTATATATATTTAAAAAAAAAAAACCAAAATTGAACCAAACCGCACCGATTAAATGGTACCACTTTCAATTTCAATACGACATAAAAACCGAACCGAACCGACATAAAATCGCGCCCACCCCTGCTCCTTTTAGTCAAAAGAGAAGACCATCCTGAGAAAGACGGATGGTTGATTAGCTGCGCTTCCCAGCACACTTGAGCAGCAAAAGAGCAAACATACCATCTCTCAAACCCATTAATATTTGGTTCTGTGCACAGTTGGCCTTTGATTCTTCAAAATCTTAAGGCTTGATTTTGCAAGTATAATCATATCTGAACAAAACCCACATCTTTAATCCCAAAAAAAATGAAACTTTTATTGTCTAATACGGTGATTTCAGCTTCAAAGCAGACTGTTGTCTAAGAAATTATGAACCTTGGTCATATGTGTAATTGTTTACCTTGAGAAAAGAGACAATGGAGTGGAGATTTTGCTTGTACTCGTTGACAGGCACGTGTTGAAAAGCAGAGCATCTATCGGGGAGGCAAGCGTCATTAGCGCCAAAGAAGACGGTGACAGCTAGTGGGGCATCTTCTCTGTTTTCACTGCTCGGAAAGACCCTCTCCAAAACTTGCAGAGCCCACCTCGTGTTGTAGCCACTGTACCCTCTTAGCACCACGTCAACCTGGTCAAGCCCGTTATGCACCAACCCATCAAAAATCAAAACCCAGAATACCAAATCGCACAAAGATGACCAAAGACTCTGACTTTATTTCATACCGTGCGAGAGAAATGATGGGCAAGAGAGGCACCCCAGCCACCATCACCGAAAGACTCCTCGGTGATTGAGTCACCAAAAAGGTAAATCTTTGGCCTCATCTTTTGATTTGATGAGAGAGAGAGAGAGAGAGTCTACGGCTGGCTGTGTGTGTTGTTGGTCTCGTTTCAGGGACTGCGATTTTATTTGAGCGAGCGAGTGGCTGACCAATTCTGAACTTTGTTTTTGTTTCTCCTTCTAATGGGATCTTATAATGTATAAATATACAATATAATAGCTATTATTACTTCTCAAGTTTCGTACCAAACAAATAAAAACTTCTTGTCAAGTTTCACGTGGCATGCGATGCGACACCTCAAGTCAAACCGCGCTATGCTGCCTTTGCTTTCTGGTCCCCTGCCTGTATTTAGAGATCTCAAGTGGACTCTTTATTCTCTCATTTCTAGTTACACTCACTCTTTCTTCCTCCGGCAGACTTCCTACTTGACTCTCTACATTTAGAGAGGAGGAGAGAGAAATTGAGGCTCACCAAACTAATCAATATGCCTACACAAAATGACTTCATTTGGACGTGATACAAAAATGTAGAATATTTATGATACATACAACACTTGAGAAAAAATAAACAATAATGCATATATGCATGCCCTCGCAAGCATGGGTTGGGGTTGGGCCCATGAGGCACTTTGTTAATTATGATGGATGGTGAAAGAAAGAGAAAGCCTAACCATTTGTTGAACGTGTGGAGATCAACAACCCTTTTGTAAAGAGTGTAAAGTCTCCTTTCCTCTTAAGCATTTCTCATCATACCTAACAATAATATATAATTAAGGAATGCCTATTGTCTACTTCAGGATTTACTATTTGCACGCCCTCATAGCCACTTTAATGGGATCGCATCATTCACATCCATCAACCAAGTCAAGTATGATTACAGGTTTTATTCATTTCTTGCCTATAACTCAGTCATTAAAACACACATGAAATGGTTGTGATGCATTACTAAGTAAATGTATAGAATGTATCGCAATCGCCTATATTTAGAGTCTATTTGAGAGTGTGTGAAAATCAAATGAGTTTTATTTTTTCGTCGAGTTCAATTCTCATACGTTGATTAGAAGAAATATTTCTCTATTCACGTTTCATTGAGCAGAGATAGAGACAATAACGAGACAATGATACAAGAATGGGAAAGTTTCTCTCCCTAAAACATGAGAAGTGCTTCACATATGCAGGTCTGTCGAATTCTTTCATAATTAATCACAGCTGGGTTAATGGTTTAATAGCTTTGTGTTTAATATTATATTAGGTCGATCTTGTGGCTTTCGTTTTCATGGTAGGCAACAAAATTTTGTTAGGTTTTGATGAAAGAAAGCCCACCACTAAAGCAATTATTTACCCAAAAAATCATCAGGGAAGCTATAATTATTGATTAGTGCAATCCCAAAAAGTTGGATTTGCAAAGCAAATGCCACCAATTAGTTTGTAATTTACGTAGCTTTGCAATGCAACGTTATTACATTATAATTTTCTAACAAAATGTGGTGACCACTCAATGAAGAGGAAAGCAAGAGGTATTTGAATTCCACCAATCCACTCAATGAGGGGTTGTGTGTGTGTGAAGGCTTTGTAAAATCATTTGGAAGGTGTTTTCCTTTCCCCACAATGAAGAAAAGTTCGTCATGCGTACTCACTTTTTTTTCTTTCTATTATTATTATTATTATTTATAAACGTAGTCACTTTTCTTAAAATAATAACCAAAGCTAAATATTTTTCATAAATAGATATACATATATAAAGGCAGAGGTATAAGGGTAAAATATTCATAATATCAAAATTGTTATTAATTAAAAAAATATTAAGACATGAAACTATTTATTTATTTTTGTTAAAGTTAAGAAGGGTGATGGAGAAAACTCGCACACAGTACCATGAGGATTTGAATTTAGCACCACTTGGATTGGATGCACACCAAAGAATAAGACACGAGGCAATCCAACCCATTAATAAGAAATGAAACTATTCATTAAATGAGAAAAATATAATAAATTAATAAAATTCCATATTAAAAAAAATTTAAATAAAAAACAAAACGAGAACATGAGTCCTATGGGATAAATTTTTATCTTTTTAAAATGTAAATATGAAATACGTAATGGGTAGGCCTTATTATGACACTGGGTTTTGGCCCAAATGAAACTAAAGGGTCGAATCCTTCACAACTTTTTTGCAGTGCCTTCTATGCTTAATTTAAGACTTGAACAGCTGGTATCAGATCCAAAGGGTGAAAATGAAGAATGGGAAAGTACTCACAATCAGACCGTCCATGTTCTTCTCACCCCAAAACCATACGACGCTTGTCCCACCAAATCCAGTTTTCCCGCTAAGCTATGTCGCTTCCCCAATTGCCACCACCCTAGCCTCTTCTCTACAGCACTACATCAATTCAGAAAACCCTTCCCATGGCCAAAAGATTCATACCCATATTCTCAAAACTGGATTCAGACCCAATATCAATGTTTCCATTAAACTGCTTATACTGCACCTGAAATGCGGTTCAATGAAATATGCGCGCCAAGTGTTTGATGAATCGCCTGCACAAACTCTGTCTGCTTATAATTATTTGATTGGTGGATACCTCAAACGCGGGAAAGTTGAAGAATCGCTTAACTTGGTTCGCAGACTTGTTTTATCTGGTGAAAAGCCTGATGGGTATACGTTTTCTATGGTCTTGAAAGCCTCTACTTGCGCTGGCAATGCAGCATTTCCATGGAGTTTAGGAGTGGTGCATGCCCAGATAATAAAATCAGATGTTGAGCCTGATGATGTTCTTTATACTGTGCTTGTTGACTCTTACATTAAGAATGGGAAGGTCGGCTATGCGAGGACTGTGTTTGATACGATGTTGGAAAAGAATGTTGTATGTTCAACATCGATGATTTCCGGGTATATGAATCAAGGCTCTGTGGAAGATGCTGAAGATATATTCAGGAGAACGGTTGAAAAAGATGTTGTGGTATTTAACGCAATGATTGAAGGTTACAGCAAATCAACTGAATATGCTTGGAGATCACTTGAAGTTTACGTTGACATGCAACGGTTGAATTTCCGACCTAATATGTCCACGTTTGCTAGTGTTATTGGAGCTTGCTCGGTGTTGGCAGCATTTGAAGTTGGCCAGCAAGTCCAAAGTCAACTTATGAAGACCGAATTATTTTGGGATATAAAGATGGGAAGTGCTCTTATAGACATGTATTCAAAATGTGGAAGAATTGAGGATGCACAGAGAATTTTTGACCACATGCCTCAAAAAAATGTATTTTCGTGGACTTCAATGATCGATGGCTATGGGAAGAATGGATATCCTGATGAAGCACTTGAGCTCTTTAGTATAATGCAAAGAGAACACCAAATTGAACCCAATTTTGTCACATTCCTCAGTGCTCTATCAGCTTGTGGACATGCTGGTCTGGTTGACAAAGGCCAAGAGATATTTGAAAGCATGAATAGGGACTACTCACTAAAACCAAGAATGGAGCATTATGCTTGCATGGTTGATCTATTGGGGCGCGCAGGAAGTTTGCATCAAGCATGGGAGCTGGCAATGGGGATGCCTGAGAAGCCCAACTCCGATGTTTGGGCTGCTCTTCTTAGTTCAAGTACTCTACATGGTGATGTTGAGATGGCAAGTATAGCTGCCAAGGAACTTTTTAAGTTAAATCCGGATGGTCGGCCAGGTGCATATGTTGCATTCTCTAATACTTTGGCAGCCGCTGGGAAATGGGACAATGTTAGTGAGCTTAGAGAGAAAATGAAGGTAAGAGGAATATCTAAAGACATCGCCTGCAGTTGGGTTGGCACTGATAGTGGTTGATGATCAGCCCTTTCCCCTGTTTTTGTAGCTCCAATCCAAATGCTAAAATTGAATTGGTTCACTGAAAACAAAATAAAAGGTTGACAGTTGAGGACTTTAAAGCCAATATATGCCAACTGGTAGAGCACGAGATGTTGAAGCTGCAGGGAGCCTCAAGGAAAGTCTATTAGTTTCTAAGCCTAGTGAACAAATAAAGGGAGCTGCTGCATACTGCAAACTCAGCCAGTGGTTAATGCAATTCAGGCAATCGGACTGACTCAGCTTTTTGGGGAGAACGGAAAGCTGCTTAATTTGGCAAACCATAACTGAGCTCAGACTCAGAGGTAATTAAAGCTGTTCTAATCTTTTACAAGGAGATATTTGTTCTGGTGCAGAAAGAATCGGATTATAGTGTACTGTTGAGTATACCAGTCAATAGTTGAAGCTTTTTCACTGTCAAAGTTAAACCATAAACCACAGTATGATGAGATTTGTTGCTCAATAATTAAATATTTATCTGGTACATAAAAAGGCATAGGCATTGTGGCCATCACAGCTACATCTTCAGAATGTCAAATTAAGTTACCTTCTACTGATCTACTACAACTGAATTCACCAAAAGAAATATAAAAAAGAAGAAGAAGTTGAGAAGCTATTGAATTGCATAAAGAAAATTATATTAAATATTAAATTGCAAGTTCGTATTGTAATTGGATTCTAGAAAGGAGGTTTGTTGGTCAAGGAAAGTGGGAGGAGGACGTGGAAATCTATTATTGGTTTGGTTGATTCTCCGGTCTTTTCAATATGGTTAATCTTGGTTCAATTACGTATCACACAAAAAAAAGGAGTTTGGACTTTTGGGTATGGCCCGTAAAGGCGGCAGCAGAGAACAGGTCTCTCTCTGTTTGTCTCTGTCATCAATTAATATTATATATTATATACTCCGTCCAGAACAAGGAAACCAAAAGCCAAAGAAGCTGCCTATAGTTTATTGTCTTCTACAATCAACAACTACACAGAAGAAGAAACCAAAGAAGAAGACCAAAGCAAGAAGAAGAAGAAGAAGAAGCTATGAGCTGCTGTTGCGGAGATGATTGCGAATGCAGGCCTTTGGGGTTTTTAATTGGCCTGCCCTTTGCCTTCATCTCTCTTCTCCTCTCCGTTGTGGGTGTGTTCATCTGGATTGTTGGGTTAGTTTCACTCTCTCTCTTCCTTTTCATCAGAATTTCAAGGACTTTTCTTTCTTCATGTCAAGATAGTGAAATTCTTTATATGGTAGTGCTACCACTAACTAAATTGAATTTTTTTTTTTTGGGTGTGTGTGATGATTGCAGGTTGGCGTTGACTTGCATATGTCCATGCTGCTTGTGCGTGACGATCGTAGTTGAGCTTGCACTGGGGTTGATCAAGGCTCCCTTTTCGGTCATGAAGTGGTTCACATCTAAGATTCCTTGTTAGATTTCACTATTTGATAGTATTTTTTGTTCATTGGTTGTTGACCTTCAAAAGGCATGGGGTCCTTTGGTTCCCCAGCCCATCTTTGTTCATTCATAGTTTCTTTCAATCTTTCCTCTTTCTATTCATTTTTGTTGAATATTTATTCAATGAATTTATGGGGTAATATATCAAAATTTGTGTTCCAGTTAGAAGCTATTATTGGTTTACTAGATGCAATTCTGCGCTATAGTAGAATTTCACCACAATGGATTTTTATTTTTTAATACAAGCGATATTGGGGGGCTTTCTCACACACAGACTATCAAGATGACATGAGAATTTGAATTTGAGACCACTAGTCTGCAAATTAATGCCCTTTATCATTGGACTAGACTCCATTGCCATGAATTTTGTATTTTTGGTCGAGGAGCGAGCCTTGCAAAACTTAAAAAAATGGTGCCTAACCTCACATGGAGTTGCTAAACATGCAAGATCCTTGATTTAGGGACATAGCCACTCCCTTTTAAATATGAGTATGTAGGGGATATCTTATGGGAGAGAAATAACTACCCGTTGATGTGGTTTATGCTCTTTTGTGCATGTCTCTCTCCTTCACAAAATCAAAGGAGTGTAACCCTTGTGACATGTTAGTTCCAACGCCTAGATGATGACATGGCATATTATAGTGAGCGTGACAACGTAATAAGGCAATCAAACGATTAATCTAAAAGAATCAAGCTTGGAATCCACCAAATATGATAAAACCTCTCGTTTATTGAATTCATAATGATAACATACTACTCTAGTCATGGGCTAAAGTTGGTTTAAATACTCCTAAAACCCCTAGGAAACAAAAGGGAATTAAAAGAGAAATTAACAAAAGTTTCCAAAAGCTTGCAAAATATTAAAATTCTCGTTTGGACTGCTAAATGATCTTGAATGCCCGAAAAAGCTCATACGTCATGACAAAGCGATGTGTTTTACTCGTGGTGCCGTTCTCTTCAAAAAGGTGGGTCATGGGCCCAAATCGGAAATTGGTGTCAAACTTGCAACTTGTTGGTTTTGCCTTTGCGTGAGCGACGTTCCAACTCTTCTTCTATCACCTCAGTCATCTGTTCAACATTGGGATGTATGCAAAATTTCCACAAAAGAGGATTTTAGTTCAAACACTTCAACATGAGTTACCAAGCAACAAACACATACGAGAAGAATTCGAATTTAGAACTTCTAACAAGATTGTGCATAATATCACGCCCAATAGGTAGTTGGTAACGAATAAACTCTTTGCAGAATCTATTCCACGTTTCAATATGTGAAAAGAGAGAATTCGATTAGTTGTAATTGGTAAGAAAGAAAACACTTTCAGAAAAACGCCTTGGCAAGTCTTTTGGAATTTGGCAAAGACTAATGGAAAGAGTAAACCCAAAACAAAAACAAACCAAACCATAATAAACAAAGACGTCAGAATTGAAAGTGAAAAAACCAGCAATCAGCTTTGGTTTTGTGGTCTTCCCAAACGATGGTCTGGTCTTTTGCCTTCCTTTTTTCCTATTCAAAATCCAAAAAAATCCAAGATTCCCATCTCATAGTGATTAGAATAATCAAACCTACGGCCCAAAACCACAACCACCCCTCGAAACCCAACTAAAACGCCAACGACCAACAAGACCTGCCTTCCAAATTCCACCTTCAAACATATAAAATAAAACCAACCACATTTCTTTGCTTCTTTCTTTAATTAATATTTCAACATTTTTTCCATTTAGAAGTGTTAATATTTTAACATTTTGTCCTTTTAAAAGTGACATTAAAAAAAGAATCGAACATAAAACCTCAAATTATGAGTCGTTTTACCACTTTAATTACAACTATCATTTTTAATAACTCGCCCATAGATAGTTTACAAAACCAGCACTAACCCAAGTGTATAAAATACTATACAACCACCAAAACCTCTCTAAAAATCCACAGCTAATTAATCATCACTCATACTTCATTATACCCAAAAATATACACATGGAAGGGTTCCGACCCGCCAGCTCAACTGGCACCCTGGGCCGCCACCTGGCTCGGCGGCTTGTCGAGATCGGCGTCCACGACGTCTTCTCCGTCCCTGGCGACTTCAACTTAACCCTCCTCGACCACCTACTTGCCGAGCCCGGCCTCAACCTCATCGGCTGCTGCAACGAGCTCAACGCCGGCTACGCCGCCGACGGCTACGCGCGTGCAAGGGGCGTCGGCGCGTGCGTCGTCACCTTTACAGTCGGCGGGCTCAGCGTCTTGAACGCCATCGCCGGTGCGTGCAGTGAGAACTTGCCGGTCATTTGCATAGTCGGTGGGCCGAACTCCAACGACTACGGCACGAATCGGATCCTCCACCACACAATCGGGTTACCCGATTTCTCTCAGGAGCTTCGCTGCTTTCAAACCGTCACCTGCCACCAGGTAAGCTCATATTGCTCTACTTTTTTCTTAAAGTTTACATTTTTACTTTTTGGTGTAATTGTAATGGATAGGCCGTGGTGAACAATTTGGAAGATGCACATGAGCTAATTGACACAGCAATCTCAACAGCATTGAAAGAGAGCAAGCCTGTATATATCAGCATAGGCTGTAATTTGTCCGCAATTCCTCACCCCACATTTGCTAGAGACCCAGTGCCCTTCTTCCTTGCTCCAAAAGTAAGCAACCAGCTAGGGTTAGAGGCAGCAGTTGAAGCCACTGCTGCTTTTCTAAACAAGGCTGTGAAGCCTGTGATTATAGGTGGACCCAAATTAAGAGTGAAAAAGGCACAGCAGGCCTTTGTGGAGCTTGCAGATGCTAGTGGCTACCCAATTGCTGTTATGCCATCTGGTAAGGGGCTGGTGCCTGAGCACCACCCACATTTCATTGGGACCTATTGGGGTGCTGTGAGCTCTAGCTTCTGTGGTGAGATTGTGGAGTCTGCTGATGCTTATGTTTTTGTGGGTCCTATTTTCAATGATTATAGCTCTGTTGGGTACTCCTTGCTCATCAAGAAGGAGAAAGCGATTATTGTGGAGCCGAACCGTGTGACCATTGGTGATGGTCCATCGTTTGGCTGGGTTTTCATGGCTGACTTCTTAAGTGCATTGGCCAAGAAGCTGAAGAAAAACAGTAATGCTGTTGAAAATTACCATCGGATCTTCGTTCCCCCCGGCATCCCTCTAAGGAGTGAGAGGGATGAACCTCTGAGAGTCAATATTCTCTTTAAGCACGTTCAGGTAAAAGCAATGTTCTTTCTTGTGTTTTGGTCCATGTTCTGTTTGTGGTTCTTGTATTGAGATTTATAATTTTTATTTGAAATTTGTAACAGGAGATTATCACTGGAGACTCTGCTATAATTGCGGAAACTGGAGACTCATGGTTCAATTGTCAGAAGCTCCGCCTCCCTGAGAATTGTGGGTAAGACACAATTTCCTTACACGACTCATTTATGTAGTTCTTAAGCACAACCATGTGTAACTTTGTATATTAAGCAACAGGCTGGCAACTGGTTCTTTCCATTTTATTCAGGTATGAATTCCAGATGCAATATGGATCTATTGGATGGTCAGTGGGCGCCACTCTTGGCTATGCTCAGGGCGCCAAAGATAAACGTGTCATTGCTTTCATTGGTGATGGGAGTTTCCAGGTTAGTTGTGTGATATATCAGATTAATATAACAACACAGAACTGCAATGTAGAAACAAACAATAAATAAGTACAAATAATGCAGGATAAGATTGATAAGCAACAGTTTGTACCAACACTCCACTTTTCTGTGGAGCTTTTTTCTTGAAATAGTTTACGTATGTTCGAGAGATATGTGGCACATGGTTAATGGTATTTGTTTTCAGGTGACTGCCCAGGACATTTCAACAATGATCCGATGTGGGCAAAACACCATTATATTTCTTATCAACAATGGAGGCTATACAATCGAAGTAGAGATTCATGACGGTCCATACAATGTGATTAAGAACTGGAACTACACTGGTCTTGTTGATGCCATCCACAATGGCGAAGGCAAATGCTGGACTACCAAGGTTAGCTTAAAAGAATCAACTTTACTTGCTTGAATGTTGCCTTATTTTTGTCGTAAACATTTTCCGCTCTTGAATCGAGAAATGACAGTTGGTGTAAATACAGGTACGCACAGAGGAGGATTTAACAGAAGCAATCGCGAAAGCAACAGGGGAGCACAAGGATAGTTTATGCTTCATTGAAGTTTTTGTGCACAAGGACGACACTAGCAAAGAGCTGCTGGAATGGGGATCCCGAGTTTCAGCCGCAAACAGTCGGCCACCAAATCCTCAGTAGCAGATTGGGAGTTGAACGAGTCAAAACTCGGAACAATACTCGGAACATCTGAGACTGAAAGAGTTTTAAGGCTCCAACAGCCCACCTGAGAGAAGATAAAAAAATGACTGTATTTAGAAATAAGAGAGAGGAACAGGGTAGGTATCTGGGTTGGCCTCTCTGTTGTAACAATGTAATTTTTGCTGGCTTGATTATGTGCATACCTTGTTGAATATGTACGAGTTTGAAATATTCTAAATCCAACCGGAATTTACTCCAGTTTTTTATTTTTTATTTCGTAAAAAAAACCATAAATAAATAAATAAATATGAAAGAAAATTCCATTACATACGGATTCAAATTTCAGTTAGGAAGAGGTTGAAACCGTTAAAAAGTAGAGTGAAAGTATCCGGTAAATCGGAAAAATGAGTGCCACTGTGAGCATGTTGAGGTCTGCTCCCAGAACAGCCGTCCGATCGTACTCGTCATCATCTCAGCCGCAGCGCAAAGTCACCATTTTGGGAGCCGCCGGAGGCATAGGCCAGCCACTGTCGCTCCTCATGAAGCTCAACCCTCTCGTCTCCTCCCTCTCCCTGTACGACATAGCCGGCACTCCAGGCGTCGCCGCTGACGTCAGCCACGTCAACACCCTCGCTCAGGTCTCGGGGTTCGCAGGCGAAGAGCAGCTCGGGAAAGCGCTTGAGGGATCCGACCTCGTCATCATCCCGGCCGGTGTTCCCAGAAAGCCCGGAATGACGCGCGATGATCTATTCAACATCAATGCCGGCATCGTCAAGTCTTTGAGCGCTGCCATTGCCAAGTTCTGTCCCAATGTCAGTCGATGCCCTCATTCTCTTAACCTCTGTTCTCAAATTCATACATTTTTTTAAAAAATTAAGATTTATTTAATCTTTTTTTTTTTTTTTTTTTTGTAATTTTGAAATAGGCGTTGGTTAATATGATTAGCAATCCGGTGAATTCAACGGTCCCGATTGCGGCAGAGGTGTTCAAGAAGGCAGGGATGTTCGATGAGAAGAAGCTGTTTGGGGTGACAACGCTTGATGTCGTCAGGGCTAAAACTTTCTATGCGGGCAAAGCTAACGTTGAGGCCTCTGGTAAACTTTTCTTTCTCAGTTTTTCCCATTTTTCTGTATAAAATTTTGAAATGAGTTTATTCTGTTGTGCATTTCAGAAGTTGATGTTCCTGTAGTTGGTGGTCATGCTGGAATAACCATCCTTCCTCTGTTTTCTCAAGTATTCTTTCGTCTTTCTACCTGCTTTCGCTTTGTCCTTTGACCCGGCTGAATATTTTGTTTTCTTTCTAACGAGATTAAAGCTGATTTTTTTTATGAATAATGTTCATAGGTGACCCTAAAGTCGAAGACTTTGTTGGATGAAGAGATCAAAGCTCTTACCAAGAGAACACAAGATGGAGGGACAGAGGTTGTTGAAGCAAAGGCTGGAAAAGGATCTGCTACTCTATCAATGGCGTAAGTTTGCGAGGTTCTTCCCTTAGTTTCTTGAGGAAGTTTGAATTTCACTACGAAGATAATTTTAGGTGGAAATTGTGGCTTTGGTTATTGTTTCCAAATAATTTGATTAGGGTAGAAAGGACATGACATGTTTACCAGAGAATCACCTTTCTCTTTTTTCTTCTTCCCATGTTCTTTGTGTTTGTTTGCCTTGGTTTTGTCTGTGTGCTTTCGGGAGCTGAGGGTTCAAGTCTCCTGCAGTTATGCTGGGGCAATTTTCGCCGATGCTTGCTTGAAGGGTCTAAACGGGGCTCCAGATGTTGTTGAATGCTCTTTTGTGCAATCAAGTGTTACAGAATTGCCCTTCTTTGCCTCTAAGGTAAGTGAACTAGTTGATTCGGACGCTTCTCTTAAGTTAATCTTTATGTTGTTAGATGGAATGCTTCTCTTAAGTTAAGCTCAATGTAACATGTGGTGCTGGTGCAGGTAAGGCTAGGAAAGAATGGCGTGGAGGAAGTTCTTGGATTGGGACCTTTGTCGGACTACGAGAAGCAAGGCCTACAAAGTCTAATACCTGAGCTTAAAGCCTCTATAGAGAAGGGAATAAAGTTTGCTAAAGAAAGTTAGTTAACCTGAATAACTTGCACAAGATTTTAGTTCTATTTCTGCAACATTTTTGTTCCACTAAGCTATTTGGAGCTAGCTTTGTTGCCTCCAAACATCAATTTAATAAATGTGAGCAGTATTTGTTCCTTTTGCAATCTGCAGTTGGAGGTTTTCATTGGTTTGGAAATCTACTTTTCGACATGGTGATAGATTTTAGACATGTTGGCAATCCCGTCCAGTATGATGCTAAATCATAAACTTTTTAACGATTTCAGTCGAAATCGGAATTTCCCATCCAACTTATGCTTTATAATCATATTGTGTAGTATAAAGTCGAGCTAGCTTAAAGAAGCAGTTTTAATATAAAGATAGAGAGAGAAAGATAGAGAGAGAGAGAGCTTTAAATATTAATTGCTATTTAGAGATAGAGGTAGACATTAAATTTTTATTTAAACCCAAACTTACATCGTACAATACTCAACTATGATCGAGGGCTCTCATTTTGCAGATCGATCGCTCTATCGAGGCCCAGAGCATTCCGAAGGCCCATACACTACTAAGTTGAGCCCAAAAAGTGCCGAACCACTTTTTCGCATCAACATTCTAAAAAGAAGTAGTTCGACTTCATTTCAAGTATTTTGGATGTTTATATAATTTAACACGCACACATACACACCATATCAGAGAGAGAGAGAGAGAGAGAGAGAGATGAGTTCACTGGGGTGGTCTTTTCAGGCATATTTGATGAACCTCATCCTCATCCTCATCCTCATACCAGTTATCATCATCCCTCTTGTGCTTGGTCGCTACAATTCAATCATCAGCTTTGGAGATTCACTTACTGATACAGGCAACTTTTACAACAGCTACCCTAACAAATCTCTCAACTTCTTCCACCCGCCATATGGACAGACCTACTTTCATCATCCCACGGGACGATGCTCGGATGGTCGTCTAGTCATAGACTTCATTGGTACTCATTCGCTTATATGTATATATCTGACTTTTTTCATCAGCTTTTCATGTAACTTTCACTTCATTTTTTGCAGCTGAGTTTCTGGGACTTCCACTAGTACCACCTTATCTTGAAAGCCAGAACAGTAATCAAAGTGTCCAGAACTTTGAAGCGGGTGTGAATTTTGCAGTGGCAGGAGCCACGGCGTTAGATGCTGCCTTTCTTGAAGAAATGGGGGATTCTACTCCATATACCAACTCTCTAAGCATTCAACTGGAGTGGTTCAAACAAATGCTGCCATCTCTATGCAACACATCTTCAGGTAATTAGTTCCCAATTTTGTTTTCTCATTATATTTTTGTGTTTCCTTTACTTGAAATTATTTCCTGTCCACCTGCTTATGTGGTTGGCTACACTTTCAATGCCTCCACCAAACCTAGATGATAACTTTAATAATTGGACTTGGTGGACCTGAATTGACTTGGTTGATTGATCTGTTGTATATTTGATTTTTATTTGGGAAATTTACTATACCCAATATGGGAGTCAAATTATAAAAAAACCCTATATGAAATGGACTTTAGAACCACACTCAAAACCCATTTACAACATAACAACAAAGCTTTTAAATTCTTTTAAATTACAAAACTGCCATTAATTTCTTAAAACAAACTCAACTCCAAAATCTCATAAAAAGAGCCAAAACACTCAATAGGGTATCAAAGTAATTTAATAATCAAAATTAAATTCAATATGGCCAACTATCATTATTTGGATTTTTTTTGGCTTTGCTTATAGAAATTAAATGATATAGGATTTATCTATATTATTAATGCTAAGAATTCGTATATTACTAAATATCTCTTTTTATTTCTGATTAATTACAGACCGCAAGAAACTCCTTTCAACTTCTCTAATTCTAATGGGAGAGATTGGAGGCAACGATTACAACAATCCATTGCTTGCAGGAAAAAGTATAGAAAAGGTTCAAGCGTATGTACCATTAGTGATAGAAACAATTGCTTCAACCATCAATGTAAGAGTTGGAACCATAGTTGCTACTAGGATAGTCTGCTTTCTTCAATGTTGGCTATGAATTACAGGCTTGCCTAATTTCCTACGGCTGCGTGGTCTGCAGGAGTTAATCGAGCTCGGGGCGGCAACACTTTTGGTACCAGGCAACTTTCCAATTGGTTGCCTTCCTGCTTATCTAACAAAATATGAGAGTTCAGATAAGAACCAATATGACCCTTCAACTGGCTGTCTAAACTGGTTAAACAAGTTTTCTGGGTATCACAATGATCAGCTTCAGATAGAACTAAGTCGGATTCGAAGGCTTCATCCTCAGGTCACTATCATTTATGCAGATTATTACAATGCCATGCTGCAATTATATCAGTCTCCAGACCAATTTGGTACGTGTCTCTCTACCTATTTTCACAATTTATGATAAATAAATAAAAAAGAGTAATACTAATAATAATGAAGATTAATGTGATTGCAGGATTTATTGGGGAGACTAGCAAAGCATGCTGTGGAGGAGGAGGACCATACAACTACAACACATCCGCACTATGTGGGGATGCAGGGGCAAGTGTTTGTGAGAACCCTGCACAGTTTATCAGCTGGGATGGCCTGCACTCCACTGAAGCAGCATACAGGTGGATAACCAAGGCTATATTACAAGGAAATTACATCGTTCCACGCGTTTCCACTTTGTGTGATTCACTAGTGTGACTGAGACAGACACCAATAGCTAACTACTCAAAAAAGTTCTATTTAGAGTATCCACAATCATGTTCCTTATTTTCTTAGTTAAAATCTAGTTAAAAACACTAAAAAACTATTCTAGGAGCTCCTTACAAAATTTCAACTCCAACAATCCTCTCAAGTTTAGGGAATCATAAATGATTTATTTCTTTTTTTTTTTAGTCTAACATAAATGCTCATTCATCATATAAAATAATAATAATAAATAGTTAACATTAAATAAATACTTAAAATAGCATTAAAGTAAAGCAGTATTTAATTATAGGAAGCCATTATGAGTACTTTCTCTCTCCTCGTATTTAGAGATCCTCCAGCACAAGCCCAAACCTGGGCAAATGGCAGCCCCATGCCCCAAACCCTCCCTCCAGGGCGCAAGGTCCAGCCCACGAGCAAGAATTGTATAGACTGTTGCTCGAAGGCTGCTGACGTCATCCATTGATTTTCAAATTTTTTTTACTGTTGGCGCATGGATTACACACACAAACAGTTAAAAAAATTTGAAAATCAGCCGCTGACCCACAGTTGCTAGAAACCAACGGCTACAAGCCACGCGGCTTCTCAGTAGTCTCCGATCCAAAAATCTTATCCAATCCAATGGCTCTCCAATTTTTGGCTTTAAAAAAATTGAAAAAAAAAGGTATAAAATATCAAAAAATTCTTGAAAATTTTTTTTTATAAATATCTACCAATATTATTCACTTTCCACGCTAAATCTTTATACAAATTCATCTCATTCCAATATTTTTCACTGGAGTAAGTTTGCGAGGTTCTTCCCTTAGTTTCTTGGGGAAGTTCGAATTTCACTACGAAGATAGTTTTAGGTGGAAATTGGGGCTTTGGTTATTGTTTCCAAATAATTTGATTAGGGTAGAAAGGACATGACATGTTTACCAGAGAATAACCTTTCTCTTTTTTCTTCTTCCCGTGTTCTCTGTGTTTGCCATGGTTTTGTCTGTGTGCTTTCGGGAGCTGAGGGTTCAAGTCTTCTTCTGCAGCTATGCCGGGGCAATTTTCGCCGATGCTTGCTTGAAGGGTCTAAACGGGGTTCCAGATGTTGTTGAATGCTCTTTTGTGCAATCAAGTGTTACAGAATTGCCTTTGTTTGCCTCTAAGGTAAGTGAACTAGTTGATTTGGACGCTTCTCTTAAGTTAATCTTTATGTTGTTAGATGGAATGCTTCTCTTAAGTTAAGCTCAATGTAACATGTGGTGCTGGTGCAGGTAAGGCTAGGAAAGAATGGCGTGGAGGAAGTTCTTGGATTGGGACCTTTGTCGGACTACGAGAAGCAAGGCCTACAAAGTCTAATACCTGAGCTTAAAGCCTCTATAGAGAAGGGAATAAAGTCTGCTAAAGAAAGTTTCTTTTCTTTTTTTTTTAAAAGGGGGACAGCTGGTGGCAAGCCACGGCCATCCACCCCTTCCGGGACCCGGAGAGGCTATAGGGAATTTCACCCCGTCCCTGGCCCTCATCACTTGATTCACCAACGGCAGGAATCGAACCCAAGATCTCCCGTTTACATAGGGCCTGGGAAACGCCCTTACCACTGGACCAACCCGTGAGGGTTACTGCTAAAGAAAGTTAGTTAACCTGAATAACTGCACAAGGTTTTAGTTCTATTTCTATAACATTTTTGTTCCACTAAGCTATTTGGAGCTAAGCTTTGTTGCCTCCAAACATCAATTTAATAAAGGGAGTTTCACTAAAACACCCAAAATGGGGATTGAAATTATAAAAAAACCCAAGCACTATTTAAACATATAAACACACCCAAAACCCATCATTACACACACTCAAAACCCATTTATAAATACACCCAAAAAGTTGACTTTGGGGTTAATTTTAGGTGTGTTTCTATGTTTAAATAGTGCTTGAGTTTTTTTATAAATACATGTCTAGGATTGGGTTTATTTATAAATTTGTATTTAATAAATGTGAGCAGTATTTGTTCCTTTTGCAATATGCAGTTGGAGGTTCTCATTGGTTTGGAAATTTACTTTTTGACAGGGTGATAGATCCGTCCGGTATGATGCTAAATCATAAACTTTTGAACGGTTTCGGTCGAAATCGGAATTTCCCATCCAACTTATGCTTTATACTCATATCATGTAGTATAAAGTCAAGCTATTGACCAAAAAAAAAAAAGTCAAGCTAGCTTAAAGAAGTAGTTTTAATATAAAGATAGAGAGAGAGATAGGGAGAGAGAGCTTTAAATATAAATTGCTATTTAGAGATAGGGGTAGGCATTAAATTTTTATTTAAACCCAAACTAACATCGTATAATACTCAACTATGATCTGTTTCTTTCGTAGACTGTTAGGTTTTCTCGTGGGGGAGGTAGGCATGAAAGATGGTTTGATTGGTGGGTATAGAGCATTAAACAGCTGAAAGATTTTCTACCCCTTATTGTTGAAGGAATTACTAATGCCACCAATATATGCCAATCATATATCAAGCATACATATTCACGAGTCAATTTTACATCAGAGATCCTATGTTCGAATTCCCTTCCCTCAATATCATTTGTATTACATAAAAACTTTGATGGCATCACATTTGTTATTACACGAGGTCAAGTTTTATTTGCATAATTCCAAAAATTTAAAAAAAAAAAAAGTGAATTAAGATTTTGCTGGGGTCAACTTTGACGGAAATACTGTAATTAAAAAGGACGGAACACAATTATTGCCATTGCTTGGTTTCACGAACGACCGGATTTTAGATGTCGTAAAGTCTAGCTCAAGAAAATTAAAAACGGACATGGTTTGGTTTCACGAACTCAATCTCAATCAATCCACCTGTTATCTTACATTACAATTTACAAGTCAACCACCATATCTGAGATTTTTTTTTGGTATCAGCTTCTGCTTCTCTCATATAACTTTCAGTCTTTGAATTTATCTTTTGCAGCTGAGTTTCTGGAACCAATTGTTACAAGTCTACAAAGTCGATCTGTTTTACTGTGGGACAAACACTAGATTAGGTATATTTGAAGTGCTAAAGATGCAGAGTTTCCAAATGCTGAAGCGGAACACACGATGAAACTTTTCGATTCATATCATTGCAGGATTATCGGGGGAACTCCAAAAACATGCTGTGGAGGAGGAGGGCCATACAATTACAACTTATCGGCACAATGTGGTTCTGCACAGGCAAGTGCCTGTGACGGCCCTTCACTATTTATAAATTGGGATGGTATATACTTCACTGAGGCAGCGTATAGGTGGATAACCAATGCTTTGTTAAAAGGAAAAATACACCATTCCCCCAATAGGCACCTTGTGTGTTTCAGAGGTGTGACCTCTGTTATTCCAACAACTACCAACCGGTCTACACAAATGGCAAAGATTTCCAGCGAATTTATTTTCCCCATATTATCTGCTCATATCCTGTGTAGGTAGATTCTGCTTATGGCGCACATTTAATGGTGTCCACCGTACCTAACATTCTAAAAAGAAGTAGTTCGACTTTAGTTCAAGTATTTTGGATGTGTATAATTTAACACGCACTCATACACACCATATCACAGAGAGAGAGAGAGACAAAGAGAGAGATGAGTTCAATGGGGTGGTCGTTTCAGGCATATTTGATGAACCTCATCCTCATCCTCATCCTCATACCAGTTATCATCATCCCTCTTGTGCTTGGTTGCTACAATTCAATCATCGCCTTTGGAGATTCACTTACTGATACAGGCAACTTATACAACAGCTACCCTAACAAATCTCTCAACTTCTTCCACCCGCCATATGGACAGACCTACTTTCATCATCCCACGGGACGATGCTCGGATGGTCGTCTAGTCATAGACTTCATTGGTACTCATTCACTTATATGTATATATCTGAATTTTTTCATCAGCTTCTCATGTAACTTTCACTTCATTGCAGCTGAGTTTCTGGGACTTCCACTAGTACCACCTTATCTTGAAAGCCAGGACAGTAATCAAAGTGTCCAGAACTTTGAAGCGGGTGTGAATTTTGCAGTAGTAGGAGCCACGGCGTTAGATGCTGCCTTTCTTGAAGAAATGGGGGATTCTACTGCATTTACCAACAACTCTCTAAGCATTCAACTGGAGTGGTTCAAACAAATGCTGCCATCTCTATGCAACACATCTTCAGGTAATTAGTTCCCAATTTTGTTTTCTCATTATATTTTTGTGTTTCTTTTACTTGAAATTATTTCCTGTCCACTTGTGTTAGTTTATAGGGGGAAACAACAAAGTGATTTTATTATATACAAATTTATAAATAAACCCAATCCTAGACATGTATTTATAAAAAAACCCAAGCACTATTTAAACATAGAAACACACCCAAAATCAACCCCAGAGTCAACTTTTTGGGTGTGTTTATATGTTTAAATAGTGCTTGGATTTTTTTATAATTTCAACCCCCATTTTGAGTGTTTTAGTGAAACTCCCTTTATTATATTGAAGGAGAATAGTACATAGCATGGTGTAGGCTAATTGGCCTCCTTAACATATTGGCTTATTGACCACTACACTTGTTTTAATTAGCTTGGGCTATTTGGCCCATCACTTAGATTAATTTGGGTACAAGGCTTCAGAGAGGAGTAGGCTTATTGGCCTTCAACAACTAGAAAGTGTTTACTAGGCCTATTGGCCTTTTGGCCTTTTGGCTTATTGGCCTCTTCTCTCCTTGCTGGCTATTTGGCCTTTTCTCACTCTCCCTTAGCTTTGTGCAAGAGACTACGTCTATTTATACACTCAAGCTGCCGCCATTGTCCAAGTCCCACCGACTTGGACAATCTCTCCTAGCCACATATTTTATTTCTCTAGACTTTTCTCCAAGGTTGCATGTGGCTGCCGACTTCCCATCAAGCTATAGTACTTTCTTCAAGTTTCTAGATTTTTCTACAAATATGCTTTAATTTCAACAACTTGCTTATGTGGTTGGCTGCACTTTCAATGCCTCGACCAGACCTAGATGATAACTAATTGGACTTGGTGGACCGGAATTGACTTGGTTGATTGATCTGTTAATTGATTTTTATTTCTGATTAATTACAGACTGCAACAAACTCCTTTCAACTTCTCTAATTCTAATGGGAGAGATTGGAGGCAACGATTACAACAATGCATTGCTTGCAGGAAAAAGTATAGAAAAGGTTCAAGCGTATGTACCATTAGTGATAGAAACAATTGCTTCAACCATCAATGTAAGAGTTGGAACCATAGTCGATACCAGAGTAGTCTGCTTTCTTCAATGTTGGCTATGAATTACAGGCTTGCCTAATTTCCTATGGCTGCATGGTCTGCAGGAGTTAATCGAGCTCGGGGCGGCAACACTTTTGGTACCAGGCAACTTTCCAATTGGTTGCCTTCCTGCTTATCTAACAAAATATGAGAGTTCAGATAAGAACCAATATGACCCTTCAACTGGCTGTCTAAACTGGTTAAACAAGTTTTCTGGGTATCACAATGATCAGCTTCAGATAGAACTAAGTCGGATTCGAAGGCTTCATCCTCAGGTCACTATCATTTATGCAGATTATTACAATGCCATGCTGCAATTATATCAGTCTCCAGACCAATTTGGTACGTGTCTATCTACCTATTTCACAATTTATGATAAATAAATAAAAAATACTAATACTAATAATAATGAAGATTAATGTGATTGCAGGATTTATTGGGGAGACTAGCAAAGCATGCTGTGGAGGAGGAGGGCCATACAACTACAACGCATCCGCACTATGTGGGGATGCAGGGGCAAGTGTTTGTGAGAACCCTGCACAGTTTATCAGCTGGGATGGCCTGCACTCCACTGAAGCAGCATACAGGTGGATAACCAAGGCTATATTACAAGGAAATTATACCGTTCCACGCGTTTCCACTTTGTGTGATTCACCAGTGTGACTGAGACAGACACCAACAGCTAACTACTCAAAAAGTTCTATTTAGAGCATCCACAATTATGCTCCTTATTTTCTTAGTTAAACTTTAGTTAAAAACACTAAAGCCCCGTTTGGTTCATGGGAAAGGAGGCTTGGGAATGGGAAATCAATTGATTTCCCATGTTTGATAAGTCTAGGTATGGGAAATCGTTGCCTGACTCATGGGAAAGTATGGGGAAAGTGAAGCCATCCTCCCAACTTGGGTTTTGTTTTCCCTCATCATGGGAAAGTTTGGAAAAATGAGCTAACATTAAATACATATTTTTTATGACCATTTTATCCCCATTAACAATTTAGAATTACAATATATCATTAAATGCATTATTTTTTTTATTTGATTTAATATGGGTATAATTGAAAATTTATACAAACTTTGTTTTCCATTCCTTCTCAAAACAAATATGAAAAAGAAAATAAAGTGATATTTCCCGGTTACTTTCCCAGCATTACCAAATGTGGGAAAGGAATCTTCCATTCTCATTCATTGGGGAATGACATGGGAAATGATTTCCCCTCAATTTCATTCCATGAACCAAACGAGGCCTAAAAAGCTATTCTAGAAGCTCCTTATAAAATTTCAACTCCAACAATCCTCTCTAGTTTATGGAATCATAAATGATTTATTTATTTTTTTAGTCTAGCATAAATGCTCATTCTTCATATAAAATAATAATAATAAATAGTTAACATTAAATAAATACTTAAAATAGCATAAAGTAAAGCAGTATTTAATTATAGGGAGCCATTAGGAGTCATTTCTCTCTGATCGTATTAAGAGAACCTCCAGCATAAGCCCAAACCCGGGCAAATGGCACCCCAGGCCCCAAACCCTCCCTCCAGCGCGCAAGGTCTAGCCTGGACAAGGGGTGGGACCCACTAGC